GGCAGATGTGTACATTCATGAAGGAAAAAAGTAACTTCCAAAACATCCAAAACAGAGCAACACTCTGTACCCCATCACTATTTGTCCCCCCGACTGTACCTACACACACACATTGGCCAATAAGCTCCACAAATACTTTGTCATCTCTATTTGAATGCAAGAATTACTTGAGACAAGCAATGTTTAGCATAAGTTTATTTGCACAAGAATTTCAGAATCATTACAGTCCAAAACCCAGTTTCCAAGAATGACAGGTGAACACCACAGTGCAGAACAGTAGACAAAGTTACTATGACCAATCTCACATTTGGGCTCATCAGAAATTTTCGACCTTGTCTAGCCAACTTAAAACAAAGAAAGAAGCCCCCCCTGCCCCCAACTTCCAAAGAGGTATGAGACTTTTTCCAACAGCTGACTTCTTTTAATAGTAAAAAAGATACAAGACATAAGCATAGGAAAAAAAAAAAAACCTTCTAAATGTCAACAGAAAGTGTAATTTTAATTGCAGACAAGCCCAATCAAGACACTTCAGTGAGTGGCCTCTTCCAACACGAGAAAAAAACACAGCGCTCCAACCATTCCCCCGAAAGCTTCTGCAACTATAGCCCAGCATCCCACCTTATAACTAGTTTCACTGAAATTAAAGAACATATGAAATACACTTTTGCCATATTTGACAAAAGGTTGAATAAGACTTGGATGAAAAGGCTAGAAGTATTACTATGCATGTAGCTCTCCCAATACTCAAATTACACTAAGCTGCCAGCGACTATAGTCAGCTTACTGCTTATTCCTGCTCAGAAATAAGCACCCTAATTGAATGGGTTGAGAGGAATAGTAAACAAGTACCATTGGTACACTGACAGCTCAGGATTGAAGCTATTTGTCCAAGTCTCTTCTAAGAGGCCTCTTCCCAAGCACTAGTAGAGTGACAAAGATTACTACCAACACTACTAGTTATTCTAGTCATCAGAAAGCCACAATGCCTAGGCACAAAACATACCGAATGCTTAACCCCAGGACTCAATCCCCAAATACAGGTCTTTAAGTTTCAATAAAATGCCTTAGGTATTTAGGCTAGATTTAAATACTGCTTTGTAGACAAGGTATTAATGTTAAAATGAAGTGTTAGGGTCTTTTGAAAAAGTTACTCAAAAGCAAGCTGTAGCCTTCAACCACCAACCTAGTAATTGACTGAACTCTGAGGACAAACAAAGCAACAGTTAAATCTTGAGCAGAGGAAGCATGGAGTATGCTTTACCTTACAACTTTTCAGTGACCATGGGTCAGCATAGGGATTGTACAAAAGTGACTTAAAGCCACCCTACTACTAGGTCTCCTTGCTATCATCTTTATCAAGTTTAAGAAACAATCTATTTTACAATAAGGAAGTCATAACAATAAACTGTAAGTCAAGCGGGACTTAGCAATAAATATTGACAACAGATGCTTAATCTCAGGCCAGCTTAGCCCAGCAGAGCTTATAAACTACACAAAGAAAGCAGCAATTTTAAACCACACACTCTAGCTTACTAGAAGCCTAGTCCTGAGGAACGATGCACTGACACAAGACTCGCAGTCTAGTGTTACTGCAACTTTGTTTTGATGCCACTTCCCAGGGGAAATGTGTTAGAGTAATAGTCTGAAGTGTAGTAGTCTTCCTTTAGCCTCTGCCTGACACACAAGTGAGCAACAGAGGCCAGAGCAGGTTTGCAGAGCCACTGTTAAATACTGAAGGGAGACTGAATCAAGCAGGCAGCTCAGACCTGGCCTAGGGCCATTACTATTAGCTTCACCTAGCACTCACTCATGCTACTCCTTGCTACAGGGGCCATAGTAAACCTGGACTCAAACCAGCTAGTACACACCGAAATTAAGCCACTGCCACATACAACATCAGGCTGCTGGGACAACTCAAAACACAACGGTAGGTTGCTTGCAATAGTGATGAAAAGCTACTAAGCATTTGGGCTCCATCTGCCAAGCCAGGGTTATTTGAAGGCCACAAGACCAACAGTATCCCAGAGGTTCCTGTTGCAATAGGGCAAACACAGTAGGTAGTGTGCAGCTTCAGCATGCTGCTTAACTATTCCAGAGCTTTAACAGCCAGCACCTGGGCTACAGAACATCAGTATTTCCACTAGCCGAGCAACTTAAGAGGCAGGCAGGGAGCACAGCAGTCCCCTGAGGCTTAAACCCAGTAAGCCAGCTGTTCATTCAACATGCAGCTTCCTCAGAGGCCTCAGCAACGAGTTACTTTAGCAAAAGCACAACACTTATGGCAGGAAGCTTAAGTACTCCGTAGCTCTACCTCAGTAGGAACCCATTAGAGCTTTCTTTCTAGCACTTCCTTTTCCAACAGATGCACCTGGCCTGATGTTCAGTAGCCAAGGCATTCAAAGACCAGCAAAACTTAAGTCTGCATTTCAAGCTTGTGAGAACTCCTAAACATCTGAGTTTTTGCACATGAGTTGGTGCAAAGGAATAATTTAAAGATCAGCCATGAGATCACACAAGACAGATACTTGTCCAAACTATTTGGTACGCAAATCAAGCTTCTCTCTAAGCACTGGTTTACTTCTGCAATGGGTATAGGTTAGGTCAACTTTCAAACCAGCTATTTAAAAGATGACAGCAGTTAAACTCCTAAGCAAAAGGCTTCCATCTTTCTAGTGACACCCTATACTAAGCCAAGTTTCGTCTTGCATGCAGAAGTTACTCCTGCCTAGCTTTGCATTCCAGCAGTAAGCCTGCACTAAGCTTAACACTCAGGACAACACTGGGAACACAGTTTTTGAAAAAGCCTTCCAAACAGACAGTCCTGGGTGAGATGCCTTGTCTGTAAGTTACATGAAGTCCAAGCCACAGCTAATAAAAAAGTCTGGGTTGACTTTCAAATTTAGCTACTTTGGCTGACTACTCAGGAAGCCTTTAACAAGAAAAGCACTACGGAAGACACCAAATTATTTGTATACTTGCTACTGAAGTTGCTTACAAGACTGTTCAAAAAAGTTAAGCTAAAGCATGCTTGGCAACAGTCTGCTTTCTAGATTGTATCCCTCTCTGCCTTCCTAAGGTAAATGAAGCAGTCTGAAGGAACGAGTAGCCTTGCTGTTCTACTGTGGCAGTCATTATGACATAGTTATGACAAGTGAGAGAAACTTGAGAGGTAACTGGAAGTCTTTGGTCCTATGAGGAATAGGCAGGTTGGTTTTGGGACTTTAACAGCCATTTAAATGTTGCACTGCTGCTGTTTTTCACCTTGAACAGCAACAATACAGTGGTGTTTTCCCTGCTTTCTCCTTTACCTTCTATGCTTCAACTATTTATCAGGCACTTTGGTCTCACAAGTTTGCAGAGACAGCTAGCAGTCATAAAAAAGGTTTAATAAACTATTCTTAAACATTGCACCAGTACATATTAAATAGCTCAAAGATCTGCCTTTCTAGGCTAGTCTACTTCTCTGGTTAAGCAAAGGAAACTCAAGATTATTTGCTAAATGTATTACTACTGCAATTCAGTGAAAGCCATCCAGTTAATATACCAGTACAGATATATACATAACTGGGGAGTTTGCAACCTTCCTTACAAGGCACAGGAGTGTCAAAGCAGCAAGTTCAGCACAGACCCTTTAGGAAGTTCAGCTCCCTACATCTCCAAGGGAATACATGCTCTTCCAGAGACTGTTCCAAGAACAGGGGTAGACATTCACCACATATAGCCTCTTCAGAGAGCTCTGCTTAGGGTTTATAGACCTCTTCAAGTGAGGGTTGAGACCAGTAAAAAGGAAGAGTTCTACCCTAACTACTCAAAACACCATCTCATACAGTGACCAGGTGACAGTGACATTAGTGAACTCAACCCTTACGTGGTGTCAGAAATACAAGCCTTCAGGACCTGCCTGAAGTTGTACAAGAGTAAATTCATTTTAGGAGGCACTTCAGGAACTTATACTGTGGCATGAGTGCACAGCATCCTGCAGCTTACTGTGGTTTTCAGGGGGTGGGAAGAAGGGAGAGCAGTGGTTGGGGTGGGCTTTTTTGCTTGCTGTGTACCTGTGATGAAGAAAGTCAGGCCAAATCTCAGTGCAAGAGCTGCACTACTTTCCAGCTGTGCCAAAATTGCAGTCAGAAAGGCTTTATCTTGAACCTCAACTTAACAATGTTGTTCTATCCTAACTATTCAAACCGTAGTTCCAATCCTACTTAAGGCTTCAGTTCCTCATTGCAAGGACTTTTCACATTAGCAAGTTTTAGACTGAATTTTGGTGCATATGTAGAAATTCCACCTTCCAAATTTTTGTACTCAAGAAAAAACTTAGCCAGCTTATGCTTTAGAGATGGACTTAGTAATCCATCTTCAACTTCCAAGAAATTAATCTTGAACTTGAGGCAGGACCATAAATCCCTGGGTACTACAGGAAACAACATTTAGGCCCTCTACAAGACAGATGCTATCCATACAGTTATCCATTCTACACAGCCAGAAAGTAGAAGCAGCCCAAACATGACATAAGCCCACTCTTGCACAATTAGTTCAATAGAAAAGCTGGCTACAACTGAAAGTGAGGAAGTGCAGAGTAATGAGGTTAGGCAATAGAAAGCAGAGTTTTGCTGCTGCTCCAGGAGTGGCGTCTGCTTGACTCAATACATTTTACAGTCTTTCTTCTATTAACTAACCCAGTTTACTGAATACTCCACTTAGATCACATTAATAACCACTTCCAGAACTAGGACAGAGTTTCATAATTACTCCTCTTAACATTTGGCTGCTGGTTCTCTTCTCCTGAAGAAGTAATAAGGCTCCTTGGCATTTGTAGATACATATACTGAAAAGTTCATAGCAGGTCACCTGGCTGCATATTCTTACTGCATACCAGGAAATGGACAGTCCAATGCAGTCTTGTTTCCATCAGAAAACACCCCACTGACAGTTATTATGTGTCTATATATATACACACTCAGCATCTCAGCCTTCAGTAGCCTCCACTCAACACTCACGTGAAACAATCAGTTGCAAGGCAACCAAGTGGGGTAGGACTGGCTGTATGGCAGGGGAGCACTTGCAAGGTAGTAGTTGCTGAAGTTAACATCACTAACATAGGGTGCCGGCTGGTAGTAACAGGTAACATTGGTGGCATTAGGGATGATGTTTTGTTCTGCCAGCACTCTGAGTGCTAGCAGAGAAATCAAGTTGAGAGTCTGCCTTCGCTCGTGTCCCATGAGGCAGACTGTGCTCTCGTTCACTACCCTGCGCAGAATCATGAGGTAGTCATATTTGCTCCTCTCCTCTTTGGAGAAGTGGTTCTGGAGGTAGGTCTCTAGTTTGCGCTGCTGATCCAGGATGTCTGGGAAATCGATGAAGAATCGGGAGCACATGTAGCGCTCTAATGTTTTGATCTCATCCTTATCCATGGGCCTGAAGTCTCGTACTAAGAGGTTACTGTACTTCAGAAGACCACCACCTCGGATCTCTTCAGGATTTTTGGTAGCTATCAGCTTGTTCTGGAGGTGATCAAAAGCTGCCTCAAAGTCTCCATACATGCTCTCCCCAATCACAGTGGGATGGAAGTGCTCCGACATGGGGGTTTTTGAGTAGTCATAGTAAAAGAGCAGGGAGTCCAGTATGATTTGGAAGGAGTCCACACTGAATTCAAACTGTCGCCGTATACAGTCGACGAACTTCAGCTCTACATTCCTGCCATGTTTGTTGGAGAGAGATATCAAGCTCCAGCGGTCAGACTCCGTGTACACTTTGACTAGCTTCTGGATGTAGGCTTCCTTCAGGGTTACCGGACTGATTTTTAGCTTGCTTACTCCTGCTGGCAAGAAATTCAAGAGGGATCGGAACACCACATCTCGAACTAATTGAAACTCCGCCTCACTTGGAAGAGAAACTTGAAAAATGAGATCCAGGTCTTTGCACCCCAGCCCATTATCCTTAACCAGGACGTGACCGGCTGCGGAGCCATTCAGACGGACGTCGTGCACCACGATGCCCGCTTCGCTCAGCCTGCTCCGGACAGTCCGAACGATGTCCTTCAGAGTCATCCTCAGTGTGGGGAAGTTACCGCGCCCGTGGATCGGGACCACCTCTGTAAGAACCTCATGCAGACGGCTGACCTGCTCCCAGTTCAGCACACTGCATGACACGCCGTCAGTGTTACTTCCTTTGCTTGCCATCTTAAGGTTTTTCTTATCCAAAGAAACTGTAGAGAGGTGGGATAAAAGTAAAAAAGTCAGACTATTTATGCTTCCTAGATACATCCTATGCTCTACTTTTCTGTCTACACACAGACACAAACTAGAAAGAAATAGTTCTATGTAAAAATGACTATCACCTTCCACCTGAAATGATACTCAGCTTCTCCACTGATTCAGGCACAAAACTGTAGTTATTGTCTTTTTTTGGCAAGGTAGAGTTAAGTACCTTGGCAAAGCAGTTTGTCAAAGGGAGATTATCAGCACAGATGACAAAAGCTTTTCCTAAATTCAATATCATCTGCAGCATCAGCTGATGCCAGAGGAGCCATAAGCAAAGCACTTCTGAAAGTGAAGCTTTGAACTTGTTCCATCACACAAAGCTCAAACTGCTATCTCCAACTAACACAAGAGCTGAGCACTCAGGGCTTAGAGATCATATCCACTGCAAACATTTTAATCCCACCAGAGGCAGAAGGTTCCTTCCGTTTCCTTCAAGTTTTTCCCCTCTTAACCATCCAGCATCCACCATTCATGAGATAAGGGCTAAGTACATCTTGCTCCTGCAAAAAGCTACAGCACTTCAGCACCCTGGTCTGGATTTCAGCCGCAAAGTCCAAAGCAAAGCGACCCTCTGTTCTTTTTCAAACACGCTGGATAATCAAACTACCTTTCAGAAATATTCATGCTTGTTCCAACCTTCTGCTCATTTGCTTAGGGCAAGCAAACGTTTAAGAGCTGGTATACACTCACATGAGGTTAAGGTACGCATCATGCTGGAGTTGCACATTAACACCAAGGACTTAAGAACCTCACTGACTAGACCTGGTCACAGCCTCATCTGAACTTTTGTACTTTTTAAGGAGTCTTGTCACAGCTGACCAGATCATTCTCTTGTGCTTAAGTGGCTTGCATTTTGAAGTATGCAGATACTTACATACATTCTATGCTCACACAACTCCAACTGGTATTAATACAGTTTTCTTTTTTTAAGTGTTCCAAGTTTCTATTATGGCCAGGTGCTTCCTGACAGCTACAGGCTAATTAAGGCCTCACCTTCTGCCTCAAGTACTTGGGAAGACTGCAGCTGCCATGGTCAGCCTAGTCAGACTTAAGGTAGTTAACTCTTGCTTTCTGGGACTTGTTTAAAGCCCAGCCATATAGTTTCCTAACATGCATCAACATAGTGCACCAGCATTGATGCACTACACATCGACACAGTGTGTGGAGCACTTTTAAAGCAGGACTCAAACAGTAGCTATTGTCATTTTATGCCTGTCCTCTTCCAGCTTTTAACTTCTGAACACCTCGTTTGACCTGTCACCTACTAGAGGTGAGAGTCAAATCCTAGATAAAAGACACAGTAAGGTAAAAATGCTCCTGGCAAAGATATTTTTGCCCTTTAGAGGAGCTGCTACGGGTCACACCAGCTCCAGCGGGCATAAAACAAACCTATGATTCACAAGATTAGTCCAGGACAAATCAAGTTCTTCAAACTCAATCCTTGGCTGCAAGTCAGCATACACGCAGAAGTATTAAGCCTGCCAGGAGTTGCCCTCAAGCACTCCAGACACATTAAAGTACATTTTCCTCTTAAAACCACTGTTTTCACAAAATCCTTCAGATTGCTACAGAATACAAGTCTTCCATGATTTCTAGCTTAAACTGTGAGTGCTTTCAGGTACTACCTCAGAAAGCATTCCCCTTCCTCCCCAAATGTAGCCTTCTCAGCAGCCTAGAAAACACAGACAGACCACCCAGGCACCAGAAAGGACTGGGAGTAGCAGCTCCCTCCCCACCCCACCACACACTCTGTTCTGCTTGGTGATCCTCATCTGGGAGACTCAAGCACATTGCTGCCCTCGCAGGGGGTAAGATTAAGTCATTTCCAGTTCAGTGGAGAATTAAATTCTCAGGGTATCAATCTACAAAGACTCTCACCACCAAAACACTCAAGCGTTTGCATCCTCTGCAAGATTTATGTTAGTGGCAACAGGGTCTTAGCAACTTGAGCGCAGTTGGGATGCCAGCAGTTTGCATGGCGTTTCACCACCACCGTTTTCCCTCACAGACCTGATACTTGAAGGCGCTCATTCACCGGGAAGAGACTAACTCGGAAGCCAAGAGAGCCTCTATTTATTTTTAATACCAAGTGTGAAAAGCTTTGCAGCTTCACTTGGGTGCAAACCTCAGAGGCAGGAGCGAGGACAAGCCACCTCTGTCACGGTGCGGGTACCCGACTCCGCAGCGGGGTAGTTCTGCTATAAGGGACTTATTCCCTCTTCCTATAAGGGAAAAGTTGGCACAACACCTAAAAATCCTCAGCGAGCAGCGCCACAAGCCCCC